TGATGGGATTTCCATATAATTACAAGTCGTATGCATTAAATCGTAATCGGAGTGGAAACGAATTATGCACTAGCCAAGTCTGGCTGGATAATGCAGCTCCAAGCACGCTTAGATGCTGAATTTTAAATTTACGCGGCAGAAACCAATGTCAGTCTGATCAAGAAATGGAAAGGTAGCAGCTATACGCAAAATTCAAAATGAGCGCGATAACATTTGGCTTGAAGAGCATGAAAGAAGCAAAAAAAAAACCAGGCCACGAAAACCATGGATACATAATAGCTGCGGGCCAAGAGTCAGAGGAGAGGGGTAAATGCGTGAAAATTTTGTATTTAACTGCGCGAAGCTGTACAGATTTAACTACGTGAAAATCTAATATTTAACTGCGCGAAACTATACTAACTGTGTGAAAATCCTGTATTCAACTGCGTGGAACTATACTAGTAATCTCAGGTAACCAACGAAATTCCTGGCGTAGCTACGCCTAGCATGCAGGAATAACCGAGTGACTTTACTAGCATGGAATCCTCATATCGACTGTCTAGGAGGCCTTAGTATTTTTGCGATATACAGATATCTAGGAAATTACGTAGTTTTCTAATTATAAAATCACATTACCATCTTTAGTCTAGCATTTCAAGTAAAATAGGCCAGAAGCAGCAACGAGATGATTTCATAGCTAACTACTGCAAACTGAAGTAAGCGCCATGCAAAGGTCATAGCTAACTCCTCTTGATTTCACAGCTAACTCCTCTTTTGTAATCACTTTTATACAATCACTATAAACGAATCCACTGATAAAGGTGGGTCGAAATTTGTTAATCTACAACAAAATTTCTTTAACGGTGTTAAATTAGAGAATCTGCAGTACCTTAGCGGCGATAATCACTGGGATAGTGATAGCCTGAAGGCAAGCAAGCACACTAAATGGAATGTAGTCCCCAGTGACAGCACAAGCCAGTGTCCAGCAGAATGCAACAAATACAGCTGCATGCGCTCGTCGAGCGGAGAACCACAAAATCTGGACAACAATTATGGCCACCTGAATTCCAACAAACAGCGAATCGCCCCACTGACTGCAATGAAAATGAATCGCTGGGATTGAGGAAAGTATGTGATTTCTTACGCATTTTGGAATATTATGCAAATGCAAAAATGCATGCTGCCGAGTGTGTGTGTGTGTGTGTGTGTGTGCGTGTGTGTGTGCGTGCGTGCGTGTGTGTGTGTGTGTGGCAACTACACTTTGCCACTGACTTTCTACTGCAGAACCGGGGAAGCCAGAAGGTTGAAATTTTTCTTACATGTCATTCTTACAGCTTGAAATCATCGCTCACGCACGAGTGGATGCCACTTACAAGCGCCGCAAAAAACATGCAAATCCTGTGGCGGGAAAACGATTTCGAGAACCAGACAAGTTAGAAAGCTCAAATTTTACACTGATTTTCGCTGCCCATGCATGACTAAAGATTTCAAATACAGCTATCGCACACGCCCACGTCATATGTATATTCTTGTCGTTCGCAGCTGGCATAGTGCCAACTCGAAAATTAGCCGGAAGGCAATAATTAAAATTTTGTCCGCGTTTTTATCATTCGTCTGAAAAATCGTATTCCTAAATCCAGTACGACATGCATTTATGCATTTGTAGCGAAGTGACTATATTATTTTCTGGAAAAGCTGCCAGGCTGTAACTTTGCAAGGATAATCTATATTCATGTGTGATCTAAATACAGCTTAGAGACTAAATTCGCTGCACCAGGATATGATAAATACTCAGCATTATCGGAAGCCAAAAAGAGGTGCGTTTTGTGGGTTTTGTGATTCAACTGTTCTAACATCCTGTGCATTACCAAATCTGCATTTTTCGATAAACGACCGCTCACCGGAAAAACGACAGGTCTCCGTGCAAAACCGATAATCATGTATGCTGAAGGTCCCGTAATGCAACACTATCATCCCACCGACGTCCTTTTTTCCTTGCACGCAAGAAACGCAGCTAACAGTGTGCTCACATGTTAAACTGTAACCCAGGAACCATTCAAGCTGTTGACGAGCTCAATGCTACAAATTTTAGGGGGAAGACACCTAATGCAATGCCGGGCAAGTCTGGTGCATTGCAGCCCGATTTTGATTTTGTTGCGATTTCAGTCAGATAAATAATAATCAAGAATAAATAATAATCAAGGTAAAATAAAATGAATAGAATAAAAAAAACCTAAAGTATTACCACAAACACCTGAAGTATTACCAAATAGTAATACTTCTTATAAAAGTATTTCAAAGGCCTCATCTAAAGAAAAAGGCTTATTTCATCTGACTGCAATTTTGATCTCAAAAATGTTCAAATTGCCAGTGCATTTGGGCACAGCAAGACTTGCAGCAATACTTTTATTGCGTCCAATACAAATTCAGACCTGCAACAACATTACCTGTACTGCACTGAGGTCAGACCGTTTCATCAAAATACAACAAAAAAAGAAAACTACGAAACCAGTAAACACACCTGAAAACGAATCGTCTTGCGTAGCTGTATGCTGTCATAGAAAAACAGGCAAGCAGTCCTAGAAGCTGCGATGAGAGTGAGATCCCTTCGGCGGATTGTGCAAATTGGATTTTCAGTATCTGCGGGATGAACAGCATCATTGAGGCAACTGTTATGCCGAGCCCAAGCATTCGTGATACAAACATCGACAGGCATTCTTCTGCAAACACAAGACATAGTTAACTTTTCATGGAAGCAAAAGGCACTCAAAAGAAGGACAACGGTAGAGGAACAGAGTTGGTGGGTTGGCGATGGTTTTCTTTTTGAACGTGGTTTTGATTGATCGTGGTTTTGATGATCGTGGTTTTGATTCCAAGATATGGGTTAGTAATAATATGCAAACGAAAAAAATGACCGAATTATGAAAAAAAAAATCAATGTTCTTTTCTGGTGGCAAAACTCAAACATCGACCTTTATCCCTGAAACCAACGCCACTTGCTACTGCATCAATACCATTCTTTTGTAGTAAAACCACATTTTTTTTGCAGTACTTTTATATAGTATATACCATATATGTGTAGTATGAAGTACTTATATGTATACCAAATTTGTAGTACGAGTCCCCAAAATAAGTACTTCGGCCCCGGGAAATCCAGGAAGCTTTCGGACCCCCGGACTTAGCACGATTTGCCGATGCCTTCGACAATTCTGTCCTGCATTATCTTCGTCATAAATGTGTACTTAAGCACTAGATTCTGGTCCTTTTTTTAAACCAAACACACGTATATATGTTCTATTTTATGAACAAATTTATCAGAAAGCAGTGGCGGCAACTTACGATGCAAAAAATTGTACATCAACAGCGATTCTTCGTAACATTTGCCCGGAAATAGGAAATGTAATAGTTCATCGATTTTCAAACGTACTGCTTGCGCCATAACTACTGCTGCGTCCCTGGAATAGCCCAGAGTTGAATTAGACTCATAAGGCTTACAGGCCCAAAAAAAGCTCGCTTACGCCTCGAGTACTACATGGAAGAGCTAAGGCAATAGCACGACGGTGAGAGATAAATTGGTTCAGTATTAATAATTGGCCAACGCATGGGCTACCCATGCGAAGATGCGTTTTTTGCATAGTTCCCCGCAGATTTCTATCGCTAACACACTGGTTTTTCTGGCAATGCTTCTAGCTAAAAGAATTTCAGACTAGCCGCCAGAACTGTCAGGAAACATCCCTTCAAAATTCCAGTCTTCCACCTTTTCAGGTTCTTGAGTTATGAACTTACTCGAAAAAAATTTTCACGGAACCGTACGGGGTATCACGCACATCCGGGGACTGGGTTTGAGCTCATTAATCCCTATTCGGATGCAGTTCGAGACCTGACACAAAGATGTTGTCTTCAACTTCAGTTGGGATCAATCGTCCAAATTTCGGCAAAAATTCAATCTTCATATTATGAAATCAGCTTGAATTTGAACCAAAAATTATAAGTTGGAAAACAGTGATCGCGATATCGACGCAAACTGCTTGCATTCTTGTCCTTGATTTCTTTGAATTTAGTGTTGTAAACTGTGCGTTAAATTAGCCTTGCAGTCAAAACTTAGAACACACATACGTAGAACGAATTGATTTACCCAGAGAAATGCATGTACCCAAAAGGTACACATAAACATGATTACACTTTAGCGTGCTTTTATGTAGCAGCTTTTCCTTAAAAAGCTTTGGCGGGCCCGTACGTGGGTACCATGCGGGTAAGGGCGCCCATTTTGGGGATTGGGGTTCGCATGTGCATGTAGACTAAGTCCTCAAGGTTTCAGCTCTGTAACTTTTATACTTGAAATGAAAAATCGGTACAGACGCACACACAGACACACGGACACACAGACAACCCCTCGTCAATATGCGTTTTCTGCATTACACAGATGCAAAAAACGCATAAAAAATAGCAAAAATCGCCCGAAATATTAAAAGTCGGTTCAAACTCCCGAAATCAAAACTCACAACTTCCTGTCCCCTTAACAATAATCTCTAGTCCCTGTACCTTCTCATGGTACTTTTCAGTGCTTGGCCATAGCAGCAGTATCAAAGAGTGCCTACGCATTGAAAATTAGGATTTTGCAACTTTTCACAAAAAGACGCTGGGTCTGAGGGGTCGTATATATATGCACTCCCTCATATACAGCGTCTTTGGCAAATATTAACTAACCCATAGTACATGGACAGCATCCGTCGAGTA